GAAGGAAGGAAGGAAGGAAGGAAGGAAGGAAGGAAGGAAGGAAGGAAGGAAGGAAGGAAGGAAGGAAGGAAGACTTCTGATGCTCCTTGCCTAGAAGGTAATTCAATGGAGAAGTCAGCCCTCACTCCTGTTCCCACTGCTTTTTGCCTACCCAGGATATTCTGTTTCAGTAAGGAAATATCTATGAAACAATGATGAACAGAACATGGGTTGTCTAGTTTTTAATAATCCCCTTCACATTTTCTAATCATTTGCCAGCTCCTGGGATTTCCCATTATAGGTGTCAATTTATACTCAGAAAATCCAGAAGAAAGGGGAAAGAGCAGCACAATAATAATATATACCAACCTAAGTATCCTTAAAATACCTACCTGGATAATGAATTGAGTGTTCTGCAGTCTACCTGTGCAATCTTATTCATGCCCACTTAGAAGTAAAACTTTTAGAGTTCAGTAGCTTTCATTTTTATATTAGAAATTTAACAATTGTTTGGAGCAGAAAAGCCTGTTCACAGATAGAACAATGTATATTTATATGCACCCATAGCTCAAAGGCAATGAATTAGGTAAAGGCTATCCATCTTTTTTTGGCAGCAAAACATCCTGGTTATCAAGCTACAGAAGAGCGTTCCAAACCCTGAAAGTCTGATATCTATGCAAACACTCCTCAAAATTGTTTGGAAAAAAAGCAGTGGGAGGTTTTGAAAGTTTATTGCCAACTATTATTTCCTTCTTGGCTTGGAGAAACAATTCCGAACCTCGGCAGCTATTGAATATTTCTTTCTGATAACCAACAGTATTTCAGATGCTGGCTGAGTTCACAGGATGCTTTCTTCCACTGCATCCCTTTCTCAGAAGCAGAAGTGCAGAGAGACTACCAAAGAGGCTGCAGTTCAGAGACCATGTCAACAAGCCTTGCTTGCTTTCCTCATTTCGATAAACACAGAAGAATATTAACACCATGATGTCCTATTTTTATTTTCTCCACTGACTTAAATTAATTAAGCCTTCCTGGATTTACACCTGTGTGAAGAGAATGGGGAAGCAGCCCTCCCTGCCTCCCTTTCTCCCTTTCTCCCAACATTCTCCCTTTCTTATTTCATTACACTCTTGGATAAATTTCAAACCAGGTTCAGGTAAAAGTAGCTGAAGGACAAGTAATGCTCTTTGCATGACATTAACCTGGAAAAGTTAAATTAAGCCAGCAGAAGCCAAATATCATAAGTGCTTGTTAAACCATTTTGTAATGCACAGCTCACAATATAAATTCTGAGCTAATTGTACAGCTTTATGTGTTAGCAGCTATTTAATGACCCAATTATTAAAGAGTCTGCAGAAGCCCAGAGGCTTTTCGAGAAATGTTGTATTGGGTATTTTTTTTTTAGAATTTCCAAGTCTATTTCTTACATTACTTGTCGTTGGGATGAAACGGGAACATGGCAATCCTCGCATTTTCTTTGCCTGTCCCAGTGCACTTTTCCCACTTCCAGCTGAGCTTCTCTTCTTTATTGTAATCTCAGCTGACAAGACACAATTTTCCTCATATTGGTGGCTTTCTGCATTCCAGACACGTATGACATAGAAACAGATGTTATCCTTTAGAAATAAGAATGCTACTCTTATAAGTATATTTACATACCACTTGGAGTACACATGGATACCACTATTAAATAACAAATTGTTGTAGTACTGTCACTGACTTCTCTGGGTTCTTAAATCAGTCGACATTTCCAGAAGCAATGTAAAGATGCTTTTTAAAAATATAATTCTAGTTTGGATCCTTGCATCAGAGGTGCTATTCAACGCTTCCACCACAAAACCGCGGTGGACTAAAGCGCGCTCGACGAAAGCGCGTACGTGACATCATCACAGCGCGACGAAAACAGCACGCTGTGAGCGGTGAAGTTAAAATTAACGCGTAAATCTAAACCTAACCCCCCTCAAACCTAACCCTTAACCTAACCCTAAACCTAACCCTTAACCTAACCCTAAA